CTTAACCGCCAAGCCATGGGGCCACCCCACCATTTAGTTTTAACAGTAGATGAAGTGGATTGTTTGCAAAGGCCACAATTCCTCCCATCCTTGTTTTCATGCCCCTTTGCAATGCCACTTGGCTGCTGCTCTCAAGAACTAGCGTCCATCCCCCCTCCCCTTGCATGTTGGCTTTTAGACCTGCTTTGACCAATAAAATAAAGTGGAAATGATGTTACGCCACCGCCAAGTCTAGATCTCAAGATGCCTAGCAGCTTTTACTCACTGTCCTACCGGTCTGAGACCTCTTTGTGAACAAGTCTGAGATAGGCGGCTGGAGATGTTAATGGAAGAGAACATGCCCCAGGCAACCGCCAGCACCGGTTGCCAGGCATATGAGTGAGGCCATCGTGGACCGTACAAACTGAGTTGAGCCTCTGGAACCTGGTGTTGTAGCTCCATGAGTGACCTCAGACATGGTTAGCAGAAGAACTGCCTAGCTGAACCCAGCCCAAATTGCTGGCCTACAGAACCAAGAACAAATAGAATGGTTGTTATTTCAACCTACTAAGTTTTGGAGTGATTTTTTACACAACAAGAAATGATCGATACAGTAGCTTTGGGTCAAAAGCTTGAGTCTTCTGTTGTTTACTATCTCAATCACCTGAGCTAAATCACTGAATTCTAAGAGCTCCTGCTTCTTTCTTCGTAAAATGTGGATATTTTACTTATCTTTCACCATCAGTTCCAGGTTTCAAGTTTCTGGTTTCAGTTTAATACAGACCCAAGTCAAAATGGTAAAAGGAATAAAAGGAATTTATTAGCTTAAGTAACTGAGAAGTCCAAGGTCTGGTCTGGCTTCAAGTATGACTTCATCCAAGGACTCAAGTGATGATACCAGAGGTTGGTTGGCCTCCACCTTTCCCCTCTGCTTTCCTCTGTGTGTCAGCTTCATCCTCAGTCAGGCTCTTCCCAAGTACTTCTCAAGACAAGTTTATCCAGCTTCTCAAGACTTAAGTTTATACAGCATGGCAAACCCAGGAAGAAGTCTGACTTTCACTGGACCAGGTGGAAACATGTGGCCATCTCTAAGTCAATCAGTCCAGAGGGCTAAGGTGCGCCAAATAGTGAGGGCTGGGACATGTGTCCATGCTGAGCTGGTGAGGTGGAGAGACAGAGGGCAGTGATGGAGGAAGAATAGATTAGGCTTACCAAGACCATCTGGGGAGATTAGCACAAAGGAAACTGGAGGTTTTTGTGTGTGTGTGTGTGTGTGTGTGTGTGTGAGAGAGGAAGATTAGCCCTGAGCTAACACTTGTCGCCAATCCTCCTCTTTTTGCTGAGGAAGACTGGCTCTCGGCTAACATCTTTGCCCACCTTCCTCCACTTTATATGGGACGCCACCATAGCATGGCTTGACAAGTGGTGCATCGGTGCACGCCCGGGATCCGAACCTGCGAACCCCTGGCCTCCGTGGTGGAACACAGGCACCTAACCGCTATGCCACAGGGCTGGCCCCAAAACTGGAGTGTTTTTGATAGAAGAAAAGAAATGGAAGCTGAGCAGGTAGAAAATAAGATGTTCACTCTCTATTGCTTAGGCTTGTTGAGCAGATAACAGTAATAGCTTATGTTTATTAAATGCTAATTAGATGCCTGGCACTGCTCTAAGTATTTTACTCTTTTTAACTCCTTTTAATCTTTTCAATTTAGAAGTAGGTGCAGTTGTTATTCCCTCTTTACAAATGAGGAAACTGAGGCACAAAGTAGTTAAGCTGTCCGTAGTCAAGCGAATATAAGTAACATCAGAACCCAACTAGACTGACTCAAGAGCTATTCCTTTAACCACCAGTCTATACTCAGAATAGAATTATGGTAGCCAGACTTCTAAAATGGTTCCAAGATTCCTACCCCCGGAGTATAATCCCCTCCTGTCAGAGTGGGTGAGACCTGTGAATGCGATGGAATGGTTATTCTCTTCATTAGGTTACATTATATACAAAAGTGATTGGATGGTCATTCCCAAGACTCCTTTACAGCGGAGAGTCTCCTGTTGGCTTTGAAGAGGTAAGCCACCATGTTGTGAGGGGGCCACGTGGCTTGGACTTGAAGGTGTTCTCGAGCTGAGATCCACCTTTAGCCAACAGTCAGTAAGAAAATAGGCATCTTTATCCTACAGCTACAAAGAACTGAATTCCGAATAATCTGAATGAGTGTTGAAGAAGATCCTAAGCTCCAGGTGAGAACACCTGGCTGACAGCTTGATTTCAGTCTAGGGAGACCTTGAGCAGAGGACCCAGTTATGCTGTGCCCCAGCTTCTGATGTGCAAAGCTGTGAGATAAAAAATGTGTATTGTTTTAAGCCACTAAGCTTGGGGGTGATTTATTACCAATACCAGTAGGTCTCCTTGTAGCTTTCTTATCTTCCCATCAGGGTAGCCGCTCTCTCCTGCGGCATGCCAGGGCCCTTCACATCAACTTTCCTGGGTTGCTCACTGTATTGTGCAGCCCCCACATCCCCTGGGGGGTGGTAATCAGCAGGTGGAGGCATTGTGAGGTCCACTGCCCCCAACACTTGATACAGTGTCTGGTGCTGTTCTGTAATTGGTTGTAGAATGAATGAAGAGGCATCCTGTGTGGTATGCTGGTAAACTTCTATTTTATTATGGGAACTGGTGGGGCCTGGGTTGTGGGAGGGTGCTTCCAAGAGCAGTTTGTGGTCAATTTCAGCTTAAGGCCTCAGGACAGACAGTCAGGCGCCCAGACCTAATTTGAGTTAGTTTTTAGTGTGGGGCCTCCTATACTATAAGGGTTATAGTAATTCACTCTCCAAACCCATGTGAGGTTTCCTCCACTCCTAAGCCATTTCTCCCATTTCAGTGCCTTCTCAAACCATCATTTCTTTGCCTTTTCACACCTGTAGAGGCAGAGAGGCCTCAGAATCTCAGCTCTGCTACTCACTAGCTGCGGATCTATTATTTTACTCCCCTAAGCATGTTTCCTTGTCTATTAAATAGAGAAAATAATCGTTACCTTTGGCAGAACTGTTGTAAGGACTCCATGAGAGAATGCATTCTATCCTTTGGAAGGTAAGCTCCACAAAGGTCACAGGCCTTGTCCTTTCAGTTCATGGCTGTATTCTCAGTATGCCCCCCACACAGTAAATGCTTAGTAAATTTGCTAAGTGAACAGTTTATGGAAACAATTCAGCACAGTGCTTGGAAGATAGTAAGCATTCCACAAATGGCAGTTTTTACGATGTCCATTTTGCCATGGAGGAAACTCACCTGGGGATGTCTAGCCAGGTGTTCTGTTCTGATTTAAATTCCACAGATTTTCCCATTTTATCATTTAATCTTTAATAAGGTAGCCAGACACGCAGGGGTCATTCTAACCACTCTCAAAGCTCCTACTGACAAAGGGACATCCCTTAAAATCCAACACTCCCAAGAAAACTGACCCTCGCAAGCATTTATGGGGAGTCAGGATTCCAACAAAACCAGGAAGAACCAAATTCCAAAGCAAACAAACTCACCTCACTCCCCATCCTGGGGGAGGGTGTTCACCCCGGTTCAGCTAAAGATAGAGCGCGGGCCCTCCCCGGGAACTTCCTGGCTTTTATTAGTTTGTAATCCCAAACGTAACTCTTCAAAGGTTTTTCTTTTGGAAGTGTGGGTGTGAAACTGCTTCCCTAATCACATTTTGCGGGAGGATCTCCGAACATCTGTATATTATTTGAAAACCTAGCATCCGCTTGGGATGTTTGGGTGGGTGGGGGACCCTGTGTGGCAGGATGAAACAGCAGGGGCACGTTAAAAACATGTCAAGATGTCTTTTAAACAGAGGCAGAAAAATTAGGCAAAAACTACAAATGGCTAATCATCCTGGCTCAATTACACGTTTAATCAAAGCCCGCCTCCCCCACTTTTAGCACCAGCGTAAGAGGGGGAAATGGGGCGCTTAGAAGTCTAAGCGATAAACATCTTCTCACCAAAAGCCAAGGGACAAAACTCATTACAGATAAACCCAATCCTCCCATTTCCCCCGGACGCCTCTCCCCGATTGCTAAAGAGGCAGCCGCTCCCCGGGTAGCTGCCAGGAAATCGCTCCTGCCCGGCGGCGCAGCTTTCGCCCAGCCGGGGGTAAGAGGTGCACTTCCTGCGCCCTCCCCACCACCAGGCCGGAGTGCGGGAACCTTCCCTCCTCCCATGCAGCAACGAGTTGGGAAAACTCCGTCACCAATCCATCGTGGCTCGGGGAAAGGGGGTGTGGGGCTCGGAAGAGCTGGATTTTGCAAGTCTAGGATCGATATTCCTCCCCTCCTCCCCAGCCGTGGACTCGGCCAATGGAAGCCTGAAAAGAAAAAAAAAATTAAATCCCAACGTAGCCCGAGTGCAAAGGCCGCTCGGCTTTGTTTCCAGGCGGGGGAATGCGCCGGGCTGGGGGCGCGAGCAGGGAGTGAGCAGGGCGCGCCCCGCCGCGGCGCTGCCGGGGTGATGAAGCCGAATAAGAAACCCCGTCGCCCTAAAAAGGCAGCCGGCCGTCCCTCTCCTCTTCTCCGACCCGAGCCAGAGGCCCCCCAAGTGCTGGATCCGCGAGCAACACGGACGGGGGGAGACCTCGCCAAGCGCGCGCAAAGCGCGGAGTCTTTAATAGCTCGCAGAACAGGAATCTGGCAAAGACTCGCCGGCCTCCCAAGGCAGCCACTCTCCTCCCTCTCTCCGAGACCGGGCCAGCGCCGCCACCAGTCCCCAAACTGCCCCAGCCGAGCCCGCAGCCCCTGGGGCCGCGAGCGAGGAGTACCGAGCTGTGGGACCTCCCAGAGGCGGGAGCTGAGCGCGGCTGCTTTAAGAGCGCGGAGCGCGCGCGCCCGCCGCCGGCAGCCCGGCTGCGCGCCCCCGCCCTCACCGCCGCGCGCTCCTGCTCGCGCGCCGCCGCCGCCGCCGCCGCGCGCCCCCTGCTCGCTCGCTTCCTCGCTCGCTCGCCGGCTTTAAAGTCTCTGCCAGGATCCATGCTCACATGTTACTTCCTGTATGGAGGCATGGCCAGTTTCCAGCCCCGCGCTCCCTGTTCCTCCCCAGCCTGCGCCGGAGCCACAACTTTCAGGAGCATGGACTGAAGGCGCCCTCGCCCCAGCGCCCGTCTGAGATCCTTTGTGTTTTCCTGCGTTTCCTCTGGCCGTTTCTATTTTGGGGGGCTCTTCGCTCCCCCCGCCTCTCCCCTCCCCTTCCCCGCTCGCAAACATGCCTCCTTCCTTCCCGGGGCCCTGGAAGGAGCTGCCTGCTTGAAGCTCGGAGACGCCGCGCCGCGCTCAGCCCCGCCGCCGCCCGCCGGCTCTCGGGCTGCGCTGTGCTGCCGACTCAAGTTGGGGATCCTCGGCTGCTCGCCGCCGCCGCCTGCGGTCCCTGCCTGCCCCGGGGCCCGGGCATCGCCGCCGCCCGCCGATTCCTCGCCCTGGCCGCCCGCCTCGCTCCTTTTTGAACGGAAAGCAGCCCTTCTCCGCCGCGGATCGTCCCCAGTGTGGCTCCGCGTTCCCGGTCACTTTTTGAGATTTTTTCGGGGGGCGCTCGGCGGCTTCCCGGATTCCAGGGGGACTCGGGCCGCCGAGTGCGGGTGGCCCGTAGAGCCGGCGAACAGGGGAAGAGCCCAGGCTTAGGGGAGGCTCACACGGAGGCAAGAACTTATTCAACAAGTTTACCCTCCCTGCCTTCCTCTTTTCGATGTGCGTTTTCGGACATGCGGAGGTTACTGGAACCGTGTTGGTGGATTTTGTTCCTGAAAATCACCAGTTCCGTGCTCCATTATGTCGTGTGCTTCCCCGGTGAGTGCCGGCCGCCGGGGGGATGCGGCCCTGGCCGGCGCGCGCGGGGCATGAGGAGTTGTCGCCGGAGCACGGAGCTCGGGCGCCCGTCCCCGGGACCCCGGAGAGGCTGGGGGGGGGGGGCAGGTACCCGGAGAGGAGAGAGATCCGCTCTGCTGGCTCTGGCGGCGTTTAAGGAGGCTGGTGGTTGGGAAGGGTGGAAGCAGGGGCTGACCTGGGAGGGGGACAGGGGCTGCAGGGATCTCCTCTTGCTCAGGTTTGGGGGGCCTGGGGTAGCCGGAGTCAGGAGAAAAGGGACTCGCTCTGCTGATCCGCCGCCGTTCGGGAGAGCTAGAGCTCTGTGGCGGTTGGGGAGACGGGCCATGGGGAGGGTACCTCTGTGGCTTTAGGGGACCTAGGGTGCGCGTCTTGCTCAGGCGGGGATTGAAGGAGCTCAGAAGGGAGCACTTTCTTTGCTGCTCCCCGACCCTTTGGAGAGGCTGGTGGTAGAGGGATGGAAAGCTGGAGGCTGGTCGTGGAGGATTGCGTTCTGGTCTTGGGGGCCGGGGGCGAACCCCGCTCGGGGCTCGGGTGCAGGCTGCGCTCTGGCGCCAGCGCGAGGCAGCCTTCCCGGGCGCGGGGGCCTTGGCGCGGTGGGAGGGCAGGGAGCGGGCGGTTTAGGGAGATCGGTGGCTCCCCCAACCCCGGCCCCGCGGCCCCTTTACCGCGCAACTCTGCTTGGCGGGGCTGCCTCGGGTCGGTGCGGGGTGGGGGTGGGGGGACGGGGGCGGGTCGGCGGCTGGGTTGCTGTTCGCGCCGGGCGGATATTTTCCTGTCTCGCACGCCCTGCCTACCTTCATCTTTGCCCTTTTGCAGGCTGTTCGCGGCTTGCAGACCCAGACCCGCGCCTTTCTGGCAGGGTTAAGACAGCAACAGTATTGGCCATTGAAGATAATAAATCACCGCACGTAGCGGTGTGCGGCTCGGCGACCCTCCACTTCCAGCCCTCCACCGGCCGACTCCCCTTCCTCTCTCCCTTCGGGAAGGGCAGAGGCCAGCCTCCTCCCTTTCTCCTCTTGCAGGCCCCCCGGGCTGCAGCCCCGAGCTCCGTTGAATCTGTCCAACCCCGAGGTTGGAGGCCAGGTCCTCTGCCTTAGCCGAGGAAGGGATGGAAAGAAGGGGGCGATTCGTTTTTCATTCCTCGCTCTCCTAAGGACAGGAGAACCCCACGTTTTTCTGCCCTCTCATCCACCCGCTCCTGGATACCCGGCGGTAGGGATCATCTGAACCAAGAAAAAAGAACGTGCCCCGATGTTTCTGCTTTCTTTGGTCACAGCCGGCTGTCCCCGGGTGGCCCGAGTGCACGGTTTTGGTGCAGCGGGTCCCCCAGCTCTGTCGTGCGCCCTGGAGCAGGACGCGGGCGCTCTTGCTGCCCTCGGGGACCCGCTCGGGGACTGGCAGCGAGTGTCCCCTTTACAGGCACGGCGATGGCCTCGAGGGGCAGAGAGGCAAAGCACCGTCTTTTCTTCGGCACCCCCCTTTCCCTCTGCGCATCCTCCTCATCCTCTGCCCCTGGCACCTCACAGAACTGCCACAGCGCAGAAACCCAGCTAGGATGCCGCGCGAGGACGTGCGTCCACACTCCCCCTGAGGCCTGGGGTTTTGCCGACCACGGTCCTGCCTCCACGGGGCTGGCGGCGATGTGGACATTTCCCCTTAAAAATGTCCCCTCTTTCTTTAAAGACCATAGCTTAGTATTTGTGTTAGTCATCTGTTCCTTTTAGACTTTCTTCTTTGCCGTTTACTTGCCGACTGAGTGGGCTCAGGTGCACACTGGGGTCGAGCTTTGTAAGGGTCACGCTTTAATGGGAGCAGTGGGAGGCAGCAGGAGAGCAGCCTTGCGAAATAAGAGGAATTTCTAATTCCATTTCTGGCCGCCTTCTTACGCTGGGGCATGCGATCAGTGGACCGGCGGTGATTTTTTTTCCCCTGGTGTCTGAGGAAGCTTGAAATCCAAAAGGGGACCTCTAGTGATGCCGCCTTCGTGGCGCTTGGACAATTTTCTTCTTCCACATTTTTCTTTTGGTGCCCACGCTGCGACGTAAATAGCCCATTCCCTTGTCCGGGAGCCGAAGGGTGCCGGAAAGGGAAGGGGCCATGGTGTGAGGCGCGGGGAACAGGGGTTGTGGTTTGGAAAAGTGCGGCCGGAGATGGTGCAGCAGCCTTGGGAACCAGGCAAAGTTAAAATGTCAGAGCCGTGGGAGACGCCGGCTTTCCTTTTTCCGAAGGTGCCGTGATGCTGCTGGACCTCAGGGGGCGCCCCCGAGCCACTCGTTGGGCTCCTGCCACCTCCACTTGTCCGGCTCGGCCACCTCCATGCGGTGGGGCAGGGGTGGGAGCCTGGACCCGGCGCGGGCGGCCGGGATCCGAGGCTAGGGGGCTGCGGATGCGCCTTGGCGCCTTGGCGCAAGGAGGCGACCTCTGCTCCGCGCTGCTGCTCCTGGGCCACTGTAAATCGGGTGGGGGCCCGAGTTCGGTTTGGGACCCCGCTTCTTGCGTGCCATACCCTCTTTTGGTTTTGGTTTATCTGGTTGACAGGAGGGTTAAAAATGCTTCTGGTATTGGATTAGTGTCCTCCTCGTGAGGTTTTAACCCAAATCCTTTGTTGGTTATTTTGCTTGTTTCTTCTCCGAATCGCACTAACTTTTCAGTTGCATTTGAGTTCTCAGCTGCTGTTCAGGATACAGGGGAGCTGTAATGTGGGAGGGTTGTGGAAACATGGCCCTGGCATGGGTCTTTTCCCAGCGGATCGGAAACGGTGGCTTTTAGTCTCGCAACGACAGTATGGCAGGTGTGGGACTGAAAAGAGTCACGGTTAGCATTTCCAGTGATGTTTCCACTTTCCAGAGCAGAAGTTTTACCAAATGTGATACAGTGCATAGTACGTTCTTTTCCTACATCTTTCAAAAATTACTCTTTTGGAAAAATTCATGAAAGTAGAAAAATATAATGGATCTCTATGGACCCTTCACCCAGCTACAACAATTAATCTTCCCTCTTCTATACTCCCTCCACCCTCTCTAACACGTCGTTATTTTAAAGCAAATCTTACACATAGTTCATTTAAGTATTTGGTATGTATTTCTAATCATTGAAAGTTTAAGTGCCTCCAACAGGATATAAAATATGTTACTTAAGAGTGTTAACATTTTATGTATTTTACATTCATAAGGTATTCAGCGGAAACTTAAAAAAAATTTTTTTTATTGATTTCTTCTCTGTTTTCAGAGTGAAACCCTTCTCTTTGATTCTGATATGTCTTGTGCTGTAATTACATTACATCTAGGAAACTGACGTTGGAAACACTTCAGATGGATAAGCTCTGCTGTGTACTGCACGTCAGGCTCTCAACATCCATGATTGATGTCCTCGGGTCTCCCTTTAAGGCGTCTCTTGGTGTATTTGCATGTATGTGCTTTAGTGCTGATGGACATCTCTTATGGCCTTGTTAGAACAATGAGAAAGTGATATTTGTAGTTCAGCTATGTTACTCTTAGGGATGGAATGTGAAATCATGCAGTCGTGGCCCCCCCCCCACTCCTCTCCCACCCCAGTGTCTTGTTTGAAAATGAATCTATCCAGTTTTAAAAGTGGGTGCCTCTGACACAGTTAACTATGGAATAAAATCTTTGATGTTTCCTTCTAAACTGTTCACATTACAGAGTTGATGAAGTTAGAACATTAATACTACAAATAGGCATTACAGGACCTTTTAAAAATGGGGGAAGTTGCTGTCACCGGAGGCAGAAAGGTTATAGGAAAGGTTGGCTGAAACGAGAAAAAGAACTAGCCAATAGTGGAGCTCTGAGCATCTCCCCTTAATTATGGACCCGTGGTTACTGAAGAAAAGATTATATTGTTGTTTACATGAGGAGTACAGGGAATGCTGATGATTTAAAACAGCAGAACAACAAAAAAACCCTTTTGGATTCATCTTTCTATTTTTCTGAAAAATTTCCAACTTAATGTGGTATATAATCAGTTATGAATTGGTGGACCAGTTGCAATGAAGTTTCCTGCATTTATGTAAGATCATTTGAAATGCCCCAGGGCAATTGTTATTAGGGACCGCCTCCTCCCTCCTCACCCTGTCCCCCATTTTCCTGGAAACTACTTATCTGAAAGCACAGTCTGGACACTTCCATCAGCCTTACCTTGGTGAGGAAAGCAAATTAAATGTTGCTCGTGCTTTGTTGCTTTAACTCTTCCCTTTTATGGTGAAAGTTTTTTTGTTTTGTTTTTGTAAAATCTGAATTTTTGTTCAACATTTTACTTAGAGCATGCAATGCCATTTCTAAGCAGGATAAATATTATAATAGGATGTGCATTCTGAATTGCAAAATTAAAAAAAATTATGATTAACCCTTTCATCCTGGGGCACATCTTTCACGTGGTCACATTTTGTAAATCAAAGTTTATGGGGGATATTCAGCGCATCTGAAGTTATCGCAGAAGCACTGCTGCCCCCCTTGAATAAGCCCTTGGTACGTTTTGGTTACAGATTGCCCACTATTGGATGATGGTAGTAATCGCCGAAGCTGCATTTTTGGCTTGACCCATGTAGAGAATAAAAGGCCTGTGTATCTAATAATATAAAGGAAGCCAAGGTTGTGTGTCCTGTCCCCACTTTTCGTTCTTCATCTGAGCTTGATCTAGGCAAAGCTAGTAGCTACTGAGGGGCTCAGGAAAGAGAAAAATGTTCTTCTGAGAAGAGCCTGCCCCCAACAGGCAGTAAGAGCTTGTGGAATTCAGCAGCAGTCACTCAATTTGTCCGAATGAGGTTGCCTGGGCGCACATTAGCCCTCAATAATTATTTGCAAATGATTAAAAGATCAGATACCTCAATTTCCCTGTCTGAGAAATGGGAGTGACCATCTTGCTTGCAAAGAACCAAACCCAGGACTCTGGCACATCTGTAAAAAAAAAGAGTTATCTGTTACTCATTTCTCTTTGACTTTTTT